GAAAAAAAAAAAAAAGATTTCTTAAACTCCTTCTCCACAACAGTTTCTTAGGAGGACTAACTTGATTCAAGTGCAGAGGGGAGTTGGGCGTGTTCATTCATAAGCAGGATTGAAATGGTCTGCTGTGTCTCTGGTTGCAGAATTTTCTCCACCCACATTCAAAACTAAGATCAGGCTTTATTCTTTTTCTTTTTTTATGTTTTGTTGTTTTAAATTTAAAAATTTTTTGTTGTTTTTACAAGAATACCACTAGTCCTAACTGGGCATGRTGGCATGCTCCTGTAATCCCAGTGATTAGGGAGGCTGACGCAGGGGATCCCAAGTTTGAGGCCAGCCTCAGCAACTTAGTGAGACCTTGTCTCAAAATAAAAAATAAAAGAGCTATGGAATTGGTTGAATTCCCAGTGGGGCTGGGGGGAACCTAGGCATGGTGGCACACCTGTAATCCCGGTGACTCAAGAGGAAACTACTTCAGGTGAAAATTATATTTTATTTTGAAAAACTTCTGTGTAGCTTTTCATGGAGATGCTAATTAATGCCCCAGGTTAATTCCCATCTGTCCTAGAACTTTTCTGTGAACTTAAAGGGGAGGGGAGGCATGTGTCCAGCCTCCCACTGGGGCCACTTGCTGCTAGGGCAAAAGATATGACCACCCTGAGGCCCCTGCCCCTTCCCACACCCTCTCTCTCCATGCCTGGGAAGCGGAGGGAGCCCCCCGTCGCCCCCACCTCATACCAGGCCTTCCCAGCTGCGGGCCTGCATCTGTGAGGTGGCATCTTCATTGCCAGGGAGACGGGTACCCCCACCCATGGGTCCCATCCTCACTCCCGCAGGACAGGGAGCTCCATGTAGCCTTCCTGCCTGGCTGCCTCTTCTCGCCCTGGAGGACATCCTCTCCCCAGGCCTGCCCCTCCCACCAGGAGCTCCAGCAGATAACCCGGCTTCACACCTTCTCACCATCTGTCAAGAGCCCAGGCTGGGACACACTTTCTCTTTTCCCAGAAAAATAGCCCAAGTTCAGCCTTGGGTAGCAAAGACTTGGTCCCTGTAGTGGGATTCCCTAAATAGGGCCTCTCAGTTTGGCTCAGGGAGAGGGGGATGCTTACTTCAAGCAGCTGAGGCCAAGTTTCAAGGGCCCTATTGGGGAGGGCACAGGAGGGTCACTACAGACTTACCTTCTGGATGGGATGTCCATTTTGTTCCCAGAGTGATCACCCATGAGTCAAGAAGGAAGGCAGGTGTCCTGCAGCCCAGGCCTGTGTGATGTCACAGAGATCTCCATGGCAACCTGTGTGCCAGTCCCCATCCACAGCACACACCCCAGGGAGGCACCCGCATGCCCGCCCAGGGCCGCAGTCCCCCAGCCCCGCTGTTCTGCTGTCTGACCTGCTCTGCAGCAGTGGACAGAGCCCTGCCTGCCCTGTGCCACCCCGGCTGGGTTCCAGAGCCATAGCAAGGTTCAGAGCTCCACAGGGGCCAGAGAGGCCTTGGTAGGAACTTCAACTCAGGGAACCCTGATGCTCCAGCAGCTGCAAGCCCTTTACTTGGCCCCAGGGCGCCCCCTCCCCTCCACTTCAGGGCTCCCAGTCAAGTCCTCTGGCCCACAGCTGCAGCCACCAAGGCTCCTCTCCTCCTCTCCCCCTCCCACAGTGCTTCCTCCTGCTGGATATGCTCCCTTCACCCCAGTCTCTGCCTTTCTTTCTTTCTTTTGGGGAGTACCAGGAGTTGAACCCAGGGAGCTTAACCACTGAGCCACAACCCCAGCCCTTTAAAAAAATATTTAGGGCTGGGCTGTGGCTCAGTGGTAGAGTGCTTGCCTTGCATGCATGAGGCCCTGGGTTCCATCCCCAGCACCAAAAGTAAATAAGTAAATAATAAATAAATAAATAAAGGTATTATGTCCATCTACAACTAAAACAAAATATTTTTTAAAATATTTTAAGACAGGGCCTCGCTGAGTTGCTGAAGCTGGCTTTGGATTTATGATCCTCCTGCYTCAGCCTCCCGAGCTGCTGGGATTACAGGCAGCACCACTGCGCCGGACTAGCCTCTTTCTTACTTAAGGGGTACGGCACTTTTTCCAGGAAACCTTCACCACTGGACCTTGGTTAGGAGCTGCCCCTCTGTCCTCCCACAGCAGGCAGACGGGCCCGTGTGGAGGTGTCCATTGCATTCCATGCTGTCCTCCTCTGAGCTGGGGATTTTGAATCCTTAGCCCCTGGTAGGTAACACTCGAGAATATATTTTCTGGGGCTGGGGTTGTGCCTCAGTGGTAGAGCGCTCGCGAACTGGGTTTGATCCTCAGCACCACATATAAATAAATAAAATAAAGGTATTGTGTCCAACTACAACTAAAAAATAAATATCCTTAAAAAATACATTTTCTATTTTTTTGGTAGTAGGATTGAACCTAGGGGCTGTCTACCACAGAACCCCATCCCCAGCCCTTTTTAGGGTTGTTTTTTTGTTTGTTTGTTTGTTTTTGTACCGGGGATTGAATTCAGGGGCACTAGACCACTAGGCCACATCCCCAGCCCTATTTTATATTTTATTTAGAGAAGGGTCTCACTGAGTTGCTTAGTGTTTCACCATTGCTGAGGCTAGTTTTGTCTCAGCCTCCTGAGCCTCTGGGATTACAGGAGTGCGCCACCATGCTCACCTCCTTTGGTATACTTTGAAGTTCATAAAATAGAAAGTGGCCAAAGTAAAAATCAAGACTATGTAGAGCTCAAATAAAGAACTAGGAAAATGAAGAGCAGAATACTAAGGCAGGTGCAGTGGCGCACACCTGTATTCCCCGCAACTTGGGGGCTGAAGCAGGAGGATGATAAATTTGAGGCCAAGTGGGCAATTTAGAGCGACCCTGTCAGAGAGAGACAGACAGAAAGAGAGCGCTCGCATTTGGTGCAGTGATGCACGCCTATGATCCCAGTGGCTTGGGAGGCTGAGGCAGGAGGATTGCAAGTTCAAAGTCAGCCTAAGCAACTACAAGGAGCCAAGCAACAAAGAGAGATCCTGTTTCTAAATAAAATTCAAAAAAGTGCTAGGGATGTAGCTCAGCAGATGAGTGCCCCTGAGTTCAGTCCCCGGTAAACCCCGTCCCCCCAAAAAAAAAGGCTGAGGATGTAGCTCAGGGGTAGAGCTCTTGCCTGTGCATGAGGTCCTGGGTTCAATTTCTAGTACTACAAAGAAAGAAAAGAGTAGACTACTGAGGGAATGACAGGCCCGTGGAGGACTTGGGTCTCCAGGTGGGAGCACGGCAGTACCTGCTGCAGCTAGGGCCAGGTGGGGACAAGCAGGCCCCACATCCCAGCCCACTCCTCACTATACCACTGTGTCAACACACCTCGAGGCTGCAGCTGCTTGTGTATCCCTTCAATCCATATCTGTGTTGTTGTGGTGGTGGTGGTGGGTGGTATTGGTGCTGGGGATTGAACCCAGGGCCTTGAGCCTGGTAGGCATGAGCTCTACCCTGGCTATACTTCCTTCCCTCTTACATTTCTTTTATTCTAGGACAGTTGTTAATTTTTTTTTTTTTTTTTTAGTTGCGGTTGGTACAATATATTTATTTATTTATTATTTATTTTTATCAATTTTTTTTAGTTGGATACAATACCTTTATTCCATTCATTCATTTTTATGTGGTGCTGAGGATCAAACCCAGTGCCTCACACATGCAGGGCAAGTGCTCTACCACTGAGCCACAAACCCCCCATTGTTGTTTTAATGGCCCCTGTTTGTACAACAAATGAAGCCAAACATCCAGCAGATGCTCTGAACTTGTCTGGCTGCTTTTCCACAGTGTCYCCCAGTGTGTTCCTCTATCTCCTGGAATTATCAGGATATTATCCTGTTTGGAGATAGTATTTTCAAATTTCCCATACTAAAACATTGCAGAGAACGGTCCTATACACTTCTAAGTTCAAGCAGGCAAGACTTTCTCTAGTTCATGTCAGGAGGTAATTCAGGCTAAGTTCCTCAATATCATTACCTGTGCCAAAGTGGCTTGCCTGTAGTTGCATGGATTCACACCTGCCTGGGGCATGAGCCTGCACTGGTTCTGACAGTGTAAGTTCCTCCCATTAGAAGGGTGTAGCAAGGGGGGCCCCACATTCACTTTCCCTTTCCCAACCCCAGTGAGGTTGGACAGCTACTCATGTGAGGAAGGAGATTGAGACAGCAAAAGCCATGGACTCAGAGACCTCTTGGAGGTTGTATTAATTGGTGGACTGAAAAAGGAAGTGCAGGATATAGTTCAATTGGTGGAGTGCTTGCCTTGCATGCACAAGGCCCTGGGTTTAATCCCCAGCACCACAAAAAAAAAAAAAAAGAAAAAAAAAAGTGCAAGCTTATATAACTTTTTTATTTTTTACTTATTTATTTTTTGGTACCAGGGATTGAACTCATGGGCACTCAGTCACTGAGCCACATCCCAGACCTATTTTGTGTTTTATTTAGAGACAGGGTCTCACTGAGTTGCTTAGCACCTCGAAGTTGCTGAGGCTGGCTTTGAATCAAAGTGGCAGAGGCAATCCTCCTGCCTCAGCTTCCAGGGCCACTGGGATTACAGGCATGTGCCATTGCACCCGGTTTAATATAACTTTTACATCACCATGATGCATTCAAATGGAAAAGGTTTTATTGGTTCTGTCCATTCAATTATTTAAAAAGTGGGTAACTGACTTAAACAATTTTTTGTTTTGATTTACTTTTTGTTTTTCATCTGGAATTAAAAAAAAAAAAAAAAAGTGTTCCTTTTTGGACCACATTTCCGGGTCTAGAACTTTTACCGGTGGAGTGTGGAAGACTTCAAGTGTTTCCACAGGATGATGGATGCTCCCAGCTGACAGATACACTTGGCAGACAATCAGCTCAGCTCGTGGGTTCTGCAATAACATAATGGCATCTTTGTTCGGATTTTGGTGGTGCTATTAATACACTGTGACTCACTACAAGTTTGGCTTCCTGGAATGTTCTTCCCATGGAAGAAGAATCTGCAATCACACTTTCAAAGGTTTGAGCAGATCCTGAAGGCCAAGAGAGGGAACAAAGGCATCCTAAATGACACAAAATCATTTAAACAATTGCCATCCTCAGAAGAAAGGAAAAAATATCAGTTGTACATACCAGCTATTCTTCCATCCATAAATATGAACCTGGTGCCTGCCAAGTGCACCATGCTGTAGTGAACAAAGCCGACTCTCACCCTCCTTCCTGGGCTGACAGGCAGCAGAGAGGTGGGCAGACCTGAAATGAACAACCCTCTTATTACACTTATGTGAAGATAACGAGAGAGAGGATGTCTGGGGGTGGAGCACACTTGCTTGGAATGTGTGAGGCCTGGTGGGAGATGATTTTCTCCATAGTGGCACATAAACAGGGGCAGGATGGTGGAAGGAGGGCAGTGCAGTGGTGTGAAGGCCATTCTAGGCGAGTTACTGAGTACAGTGTGGTGTAGGGCCATGAAACTGTTCTAGGAATAGTGATGCTAGGGGGGATCAGAAACTGAAATTGAATTCCACACATGTATGAATGTGAGGGATGAACCAACTGCTAAGATAACTATAAAGCTCTAATAAAAAAATTCTCAAAAATACACAATTTAGAAGGGAAAAAGACAAAAGAAGTAAACCTTTTATTTCCCCTGCTATATAAACTCAATACATAATAAAATGTCAGCAGAATGTTCTCTATATAATTTTGTATTTCACTATGTAAGTGCAATAGCATATAATAAATTCTGATGTAAAAAGTAATTTTAGTTTAAAAAGAGAAATAGTGGGGCTGGGGATGTGGCTCATGTGGTAGCGCACTCGCCTAGCATTCAGGAGGCTCTGCGTTCAATTCTCAGCACTACATAAAAATAAAATAAGAATATTGTGTCAACCTAAAACTAAAAAAGTAAATATTAAAGATTAAAAAAAAGAAATAGTGATGTGATAGTTTGAAAAATTCTGTGAGGGTAGTTAATAGCACTTAGTTTGCACTTTAAATGGTCAAAATGATAAATTTTGTTACAAATATTTACCCCCCACACACACACATACACAAAGACCATCCCTATCTCAGGAAGAGAAGCTTTGGAGTGTGAAGAGCCTGGGTTTTGCTTTGAATCCCCCATCTAACTGAGTATGGTGTTCATTCCTAGCTACTGGGTGGGGTGCTGAGATCAGGGAAACCCAAATTTCAGGCCAGTCTGGGCAATTTAGCAAGGCCCTGGCTCTGACTCAATAAAAAAGAAAAAGGACTGGGGATGCAGCTCAGTGGTAGAGCACCCCTGGGTAACAAAAACAAAACAAAACAAATACAAATTCAGGGGCTGGGAACGAAGCTCACTGTGTAGCATGTTCTCAGCATGTGCGAGGTCCTGGTCTAAGCCTCAGGACTTTTGGAAAAAAAATCTCCTTGAAAGGCTTGGTGTAGGGCTGGGGATGTGGCTCAAGTGGTAGCGCGCTCGCCTGGCATGCGTGCGGCCCGGGTTCGATCCTCAGCACCACATACCAACAAAGATGTTGTGTCTGCCGAGAACTAAAAAAAATAAATAAATATTTAAAAAAAAAAAAAAAAAAACTTAAAAAAAAAAAAGAAAGGCTTGGTGTAGCTCAGTGGTACAGCACTTGCCTAGCACATGTGAGGCTCTGGGTTTGATCCCCAGCACCAATGAAAAGACTCCAGATTCAGCCAGGTGCTGTGGCACAGACCAGTAATGCCAGCATTCAGGAGACTGAAGCAAGAAGATCATGTGAGCCCAGGAATTCAAGACCATCTCGAATAGCACAGTAAAACCCCATCTCAAAAACCAACTAAACAAAAACAACAAATTCAAGGGCTGGGGATAGTTCAGTGGAAGAATTCCTATCTAGCCAGCACAAAGCCCTGGGCTTGATCCCCAGCACTACAATAAATAAATTTAAATAAATAGATAAATTCAAATAGATACTATAACAATATTTGGGGCAATGGGTACATGGTGGTTCATAAAACAATTTCCTTTATTTTATGTGTGTGTAGTAAAATACATTTTTTACTTTTTTTGTCCTTTCAGTACTGGGGATTGAATCCAGTACTTTCCACTCAGCTGTATCCCTAGACTTTCCTATTTTTGAGACAGGGCCTTCACTAAGATTGCCCAGGCTGGCCTCAGATTTGCAATCCTCCTGCCTCAGCCTCCCATGTAGCTGGTATTACAGGCATGTGCCATTGTGCCCAACACTTGCAACCCCTTTACTATCCGGTTCCTAGTTTAACACTGTAAATCTCACTTTTTCCTCGGGGATAACAGCTTTCTGCAAGCAACAAAATAGCAGAACTGGCTTTGAGTTAAAGTAGGATTCAAATACTAAGGTTTCAATTCCTCTTTCTCAGGGGAAAAACTCCCCAGAGGATTTGAAGGGCTAAATGTTCCTGGTACCTGGGCAGTAGGGGAATACAGACCAAGTCTCCTTTGTGTGTATCCCAATCTCAATCACTGCTAAACTAGGCATTAGAAAGTCCCACCCATTCCTTTTAGGATTCAAATCCAAATTCTATGCACCACTTGGTACAAATGACTCTTTCTAGGAGCAATTTAGGGACTGTCTCCCTCTCCTGGGACCCCATTCCCCAGCTCAGCTCCACTTTGCTCAGTTGTCCATGACAACCTTTACTATTGAGCAAGGTGGGACTGCACTGTGCTCTCAATCTGGAAAGAACCCCCCCAAAGCTTCCTGTGTTGAGAGGTGGGGCTTCTGGAAAGTTACCTGGAAGGCTCAGACCTCAGCGGACCCATGGTGGGTGCATACAGTACTTCTCTGGAGGAAGGAAATCAAATCACTGGGGTCTGCCTCAGCCCAGCCCCTTCCTCTCAGCTCCCGCAGCCYTGAGCTCAGTAGCTTTCTGCTGCCATGTCTTCAGGATATTTCTGCCTTGGAGTTACCATCAACTGAATCTTTGAACCAAAATCTTGAATTGCTCATAAGGTATTTTGGTCACAAAGATGAAAAGCTAACACAGATGGCTCCAAGTAGATTTTGTGAAAACTTAAGACACAAGGTCAAGGAATTAAGGGGCTATATTTAACTAAGAGTATAAGGTGTTTTACACACACACACACACACACACACACACACACACACACACACACACGGAGCAGGTGCATCAGCACATGATTATAATCCAGGATACAGAGAGCAGGAGGATCACAAAGTTCCATGCTGGCAAGACCCAGAACCATATTTTGAAAAAAAGTTTGGATGGGGGAGAAGCTAGGACTGGGGGATATGGCTTAGTGGTTGAGTGCTCCAGAGTTCAATCCCCAGTACTGCTGCCTCCCACCGCCCCCCAAGTTTGGATATAAAAATAGTAAGAGGAGTGGTTGTGGCTCAGTAGTAAAGTGCTTCCTAGCACACACAAGGCACTGGGTTCCATCCCCAGCACCACATAAACTACTACAGGTGTCCATCTACAACTCAAAAAGTTAGGGGTAGCTGGGCTTGGAGGCACATGCTTGTAATCCCAGTGGATAGGGAGGCTGAGGCAGGAGGATCACAAATCCAAAGAGCTGGGGATGCAGCTAAGTGGTTAAGTGCCCCCTTGGTTTAATCCCCAGTAACCCAAAACAAAGAAACTCACAAAACTAAGGGGATCTATTAAAAAAATGTAATGCTGGAAATGTAGCCCAGCTGTGGAGCTTTGCCTGTGTGAGAAGACTGGGTGGGGGTGGAAAAAAATTACAGGGAACAGTTTTCTGATCCCATGTTTACTGAAACATGCCCTTTACCTGCCAGCTACCCACATGCACCTTGGGAGGTATAGCTCCATATCAAAGAGTAGCCAGCATTAAGTTTTCACCTTCACTGGGTCCAGGCACTTTCAACTACTGGGGGACCAATGCAGTCCAACCATTAACTCACTCCCCTCCTTTTGCTCCAAAATAAGACACACTGTTCTTAACTCATCTGCATTTATTACTATTTAAAGCAGAATGTTGACTTGGGCACTACATATTTCCATTCACAAGCCTTACTGTTACTTTTTGAACAGCTTTGTAACACAACCAAGGGAGGTTTAAGCTTTGTTTCTTGAAATACTTTTCTTTGGAAAACAGGCCTGTAGAGTTCCTCCCAGCCAGTTGTCTGTTTCACATACTTGGTTCTAGAGGACTAGTACATGCACAGTGGTAACTATGGGGGATCCTAATGAG